CTGGGGGCTGAGCGGTGTGCACCACACCCCCTCTTCCTCTTGACCCCCTCCAGTAAAGTCTCCAGTAGTGTTGCTGACCCAGTGAATGATTTGGTGTGAAGAGATCTTTTGGGATAGCCAGAGGAAGGGGTACAACTGTGCCAGGGTTGGTGTGGAGTAAAGAAGCAGCATTACACTTGAAGGAGGGTTGGGGCCTCAGCTGACTTCCCAGGTTCAGGCAACAAAGGGCTCAGTGATACAGACTCCTTGCAGGGCACCTGCAAGAAGCCATAGTGTTACTTGCTAGCCAGCAAAGCCAGGGAAGCTGACCCAGGGTTAGATGGGACCCCTCTGTCTGCGCTTTAGGTTCAAGGAGGAGCTTCAGGCACTAAAAGGAAGCAGAGGCCCAGAGACTGCCCTGGGTCCAGGTGGGGTGAGTCAAGTCAAGGATGACCTGGTGCTGAAGGCCCCAGGTCCGGGCTGCTGGGTGGTCAAGGGAGGGCTGGGCACAGGGCAGGGCAGGCTTTGCCATCTAGAACAGCATCGTGGTCTTTAAATGTTGCTTCCAATCTTTCTTGAATTTGACCAATGCCAGACTGAGAAAAGAAATTATGACTACTCAAAAATGATTTTAAAGTTCATGTGTTGAAGCCAAACCTCAGGGTTTAAATAAACAGCTCAGGAATCTCTGTTGCTTATTCAGGGGACAACACAGCAAAGTTGTATATTTCCCTCTTATTTATTTAAAAGTCTTGTTTTTGACTAACCTGACATTTCTTTTTACCTGGCAGCACATCCATGTAAAACGCTGAAACTTAAACGGAGGTAAAGCTCAGAAAGAAGAACGTGTGAACAATTTTGTACGTTCGTAGCGTATAGACTTCCAAAAGCTGACCTACAGAGGTTGAAGGCTTCTCTTCTCCACCCATAAGCATTTGAAACTTCTTCCTTTGATAAACACCTGACATAGAAAACTAGGAGTACTGACCATTTGCAACTTTATATTTCCTTGAATACAGACACACCCTAAACACAATTTTCTCCCTCCAGGGACATTTTGAAAGATGCACCGTCCATTGGAGAACTGGATGGAATCATTCGCTCTCCTTTCCCTGACACGTTCAGCTCAGGTGGTGGGGACTCCTTCCTGGGGGTGGGGGATTGGGGGGGTTGGATGTGAGGACACCAGATGCCACCGGATGACAAATGCACAAAAGCGCCTGGCTTTGAATTCCTTTTGGAGGGGTTGAAAAATGAAACATCTCCTTTCAGTTAAAAATCCCCCTTTAGGGTTGGAAACTGTCTCAGAGTGTGCTCTCGCCTCCCATGGCTGTGGTTTCCACGGCAATGCTGTGGGTGTAGATGGAGAGCAGGGCATCCCTCTCCCAGCAGAATGCTTGTTTCTGTAGGAGCTTCAGGACTCTGTCCAGGTTCCCCAGGCACAACCTGGAGACAGGAACCTTGTGCAGGTGCCTTTTGTAAGAGTGTTCCTGGGTGCGTGGTGTGGAGGCAGCCAAGGGAAGATGATATGAAGCCAAGTCCTGCAGGATCTGTGAGCAGGGCAGGTGCACCTCCATCTGCGTACTCCTCAGGGCTCAGGGGATGGAGTGTTTGCTCTCCTGTGTCTGGCTAAGGGCTGCCTTCGGGGGTTCAAATTCCCAGGCACTCTCCTCATGCAGGCAAAGTGGGCTCCGGCATCTGAGGGGCCCCCAGTAGAGATGGCAGTGCCAGCCATGGACAGTGAAAGCACTGGGAAACAGTCATCGAAGGGAGATGCTCAGCGACGGCCGTGCAGTCCCAACAGTGAGACAGCCTTATCCTCTTTGTTACTGGTAAGTCTCTTTGTGTCTCCAGAAGTTTCTCGCTTGTTTCAGGATATGAACAAAGTACCTCTTGTTAATCCTGATGAGAAATTGCTGACACAAGCTTAGCTCCCACCATTTGATTCTGCTGTCTTGTCATTACAGGTGAATTCAAGATGGCTCTGGCCATTGGGGCTTTTCTCTCTTCTTGGAGAAAATTCATCCAAATTGGGATGAGCTACCTCTGGCTCTGGTTCCCTGTTCTGTCTCCTCTTTCAGGGCTCAGCTGGGGATGTTGGTGATCTGCTCCAGCTTACCTCTCTGCTTTCATTTCATACCACTCTTCCTCTGTAGCCATGTTTAGTGCCTCCAGCAAAGCTGGATAAGGCACCTACTCTGTGCCTAACACTGTTTCTGGCCTGGAGAGACAAACAGTAGGGATACCATTCCTGCTTCCAAGGAGCTGGTGGTCCAGGATGGAATACAAACAAACAAACAGGTGATAACACTGGTGAGGATTAAGTGTTAGGTACCCAAGTGCAGGGTGCCAAGGGAACGAGCAGATGGGATGCCACCTGGGCTTGGTGGGCTAGGGATGCTTCCTGGAGGAAAGGACATTTAATTGGAGATGTAAAGGGTGAGACGTCGTAAACCGGGAGAGGGGTGGGGAGGGTGGGAAGCATGCTCCAGACAGCATGAGTAAAGGCTGAGGCGAGAAAGGAAAATTCATGTGATTGAAAGATAGAAAAATGAGCTAGAAATTGAAAGCTAGAAGAGGTAGAGGTGGGCCTGGATGAACAGGCAGAGGCCGGCTCTCCCAGCACGCAGTAAGCCAGCTCAACGAAGATGGGAACCACCAGAAGCTCTGCATTATCACGTGCTCCCTCACCCTGTGCCGGTGCCCCAGTAATTCCAGGTGATGCATCTGCCATCCCAGGCCTCACACTGCACCGCACTTGCCTGTTTCCTTGTGTGTCTCTTGCATCTGGGCTGTGAGCAAGCTGAGGCGGGACCATCCCTGCACCTCCGGCAGGCCCTCAGCCTTGCAGAGTAAATGCTGCCCATCTGGGGTTGAATGAACAAGGCAAAGCCCCCATCCTCACAGGATGCCCACGGGCTGGCTTGGTCTTGCCAGTGAGCTCACTGGCCTCCCAGGGAGATGGTTTGGGGTCAGCTTAAGGTAGTCGACAAGAACAGGAAGAGAATGCAGAGGCAGAGAGGGACAGAATACTGAGAGATGGAGAGAACTAGAAAAGGGAAAGAAAATAGAAGATTTATGTCAGCATTGGGGGCTTCTAGGGGAAAGGGAATACAAGTGCAGTTCGTACTACAACTGGAAAAGAACCACAGCAGATCACCTTCCAAACAAAAGAATACAGAAGAGAAACAGTGCACAAAAGAATAATGGGCCGAGTCAAGGTAGAAAGGCTGTAACCGAGGCTGAGTGATGGTGGTGGCTTGAGTCCCTGCCCATCAGATAAGAGCACGACTCCTCTGAGCCCTCCAAGCAAATCAGAATGGTCAGTACCCACTGCAAAGCTGTGCTTTGCTTTTATGGCTTTAATTAAATTGCATTAACTATAATAACGAGGGCTTCTGTTTGCCTCACTCTCCAATTCAAAAGGGTCTATTTTAGCTGTTGAGCAGAGTGTTTATGAGCTGAAAATCAGAGCTGTGTGCATTTGTTCTCATTTTGTCTTGTTCTAGAAGGGCAGGCCAATCTTTTAAGAGCCAAATTACCATCACAGGAATGGAAATGAGTTACACAAGGCAGCCCTGGGTCCTTAATCCTGTCACTTCACGTCTGTGAGTCCCACGGCCTTGGCCAGCATTCTGGGTAAAGTGTAGCGTTTGGATGCCGGAGACCCAGGTCTCTCCCTTGACTAGCTGTGACATCTTGAGCAAAACCCTACAGAACAGCCCTAAATCCATACAACGGGAATGATGGCAACACCTGCTTCTCGGGGTTGTTTGGGGATTCAGTGTTGCACATGACAGCATTAACCATGCCTGGTATTCAGCAAGGGCTTAATACGTGCTGCCAGTGACACACGTTTGCGAAAAGTCCACAAAATCCCTCTTGTTCTCAGAGGGCTGAAAACAAGAGTCCGTTGCTAGGGAGGCAAAGCCTCTGTCTCCCCTTCTACCTCTTGTGGGTGCCTTTGCTGTTAATCCCATAATAAGTGCTCATTTGCTCCGGGGTTAAAAGGGATGGTGCGGGCAGAGCACTGCTCTTCCCACAGCTCGTCCCTGTCACTCCTTGGCTGAGGTGACACTGTTGCCCTTCACTGTTGCCCCACGATGACAAGACTCTCCCTCCCTGTACCCCTGGTGTCCGTCTCTCTCCCCCATGATCACCTCCTGGGTCTTACCTGCAGCTTCCTTTCTAGCTTTCCCTTGAATTTATTTGTATATATTTCAAAATCATCATCACGATAAGTCTAGTTAACATCTGTCACCACACACAGCTACAGAGTTGTTTTCCTTGTGAAAAGAACTTTTAAGATCTACTCTCAGCAACTTTCAAATATGCAACACAGTGTTATTCACTACAGCCGCCAGGCCGTACATTACATCCCCAGGATGGATTTATTTCATAACTGGAAGTTTGTACCTTTTGATACCCCTCACTTCCTGGTTCCACACCCTCCAGTGAAATCAGCCTGCTTTGAACCTCAATCCTTCTCCCCATCTGAAACGTAAAAGCCCTGAACACTGCAAGTTTTTTCATATCTCATAACTCGCATGAGGCCATTATAACCTGCATTTGCCCACCTAGCGTGTCAAGCGGGTTGTGCAGAATTATTAATACGTTTGCTTACAGGATGCTAATCTGGACTCCCAGACCTCGCCGTCGGGGGAGTTACATAATTCAAGGAATGCACAGAACTACTCTTCTAAAATTGGAAAAACTCTGAATCAAAAACACAACTGGATCTCCAGGTTTCAGAAAGGACCCGCACACCGGTAATAATGGCCGACCTTCCCAGAGCATTTATGCCGTGTAATCCCCACACAGCCCTGTGGTTAGTTTCTTTTTGCTTCCCCCTTTGGCAGTGGCTGACGTGCAGAAAGATTAAGAAACCAAGCAGAGGTTGTACACTTGACCAGCGCAGAGTCAGGACTGGACCAAGAAGTCTGGTGGCAACGCCTCTGCTCTTCACCACCTCTCTTTGCTGCCTATGTTTTCCGTTTCATCCTCACTGAGATATGAATTACCTGTTTAAACCAGAGAAACATGGTACTTTGTGGTGGTTCAGAACACAGACTTGGGAGACAGAATGGCTGAGTTCAAATCCCAGCTCCACCACTTAGCAGCTGTGCGACTTTGAGCAAGTTACTTGACTTCTCTACAACAAAAAAAACAGAACAAAGGAAAATCAACATTCATTCTGTCTTGAAAATTCAAGTACAGAGGGATGATATATTATAGAGGCTTGTGTTTCTCCCGGGGCTGACTCTTAATAGACCTGCCGTTCTCAAGGACTTTCTGGATGGTGATGGCAGCCTTTGGCAGTGGGAGGCGGGCGTCCGTGCGGCCAAGACTCTCCCATTGCGGCAGGGGGCGGGGTATGATGCACAAGCAAGAGCGGCACGTGCTGTGGTTGGGCCCCTGGGCGGGCAGCCAGCCGGCCTGCACTCTACTGCAGCTGTCAGTTCACGCTGTACTTGGGGGGGACTTTGGGCAAGTAATTTATTCTCTCTGCCTCAGTTCCTCAGCTGTAAAGTGGCATCCTGTGCATTAAAGGAGTGAAAACACGCAGCGTGTTTAAGGCCTGGAACATAACAGGTAATCACTGTGTTATTTATTATTGTTGTGTTCCAATCGTAGCTGTGCAAGCAACCTCTTTGAGTCTTCATTTCCTTCTTATAAAATGGAGTAAAAATACTTACCTCGGGGCCATTAAAGTTTAACTGGAATCGTGTACAAAGTGGAGTTTATTGAGCTGGATTTGATAAATGGCAGCCTTCCCAGGAAGAGGTTTTTTTTTTTCCTGAGTTTTCTACACTTTTTTAGATTCTCCATGACATCTTTTCAAACGCAAATCTGGCAACACTTCCCTGCTTCCTGGACAAGACAAGGTGGGATCATTGCTAGGAATGGCTTGAAGCAGCAGTGAGGAAGGAAGGCAGCCACCAGCTGACTAAAACAACCACGGAGGGAAACATTTAGAAAGTTGCATGCGCGCTAGGCACTTTTCGAAGCATATAATAACTTATTTCAATCTCAGAGCACCCTTTGAGTTACAACTATCATTATTTCCATTTGAAGCTGTGGTCCTCAAGCAGAGGTGGGATTTGGACCCCGGGGCATTGGGGCTTTGGCACTGGCCTTGAATAGGAGCTCTGAGGAGAGCGGCTGGGCACGCGTAGAAGGAAGTGAGAAGAGAGGCTGGTTAGAGCATTGTGAGCACCAGGCCCACCTTTGACTTAAAACAATTCCTTGAAGGAAACACGAGTCCATTTATTCTTTGTCACCAAAGCAGCTGCAATCTCTTGTCCTGCATGTCCTTATAATCATTTTTTTCCCACTTCCTCTCCCGCCTTCCCCTGGCCGCCTCATGGACATGGGCAGGGACAAATGAGGCCAGAAAACTCCAGTGACCGCACACAATGTCCTTCTCTGTGGGTCACCCACTCAGAAGGTCAGCACAACAAACACCCCACTGCAAGAACTGTCCCTGAGAAGCTGGGGGAGGTGGGGGGGCGTGTCCTACTGGGTCTCCTGCCCCGCCCAGTCCAGAGCAAGGAGACTGCTGATTGGAGAAGGAACATTTGGGGGTGGGCAGGAACGAGGTGGGGGAGGAGCTGGGAACTCAGCGGAACACTTACTTTGGGCATATTGGAAGATTATCTAGGAGGCTGTAATTGGAATGAGCTTTTGCCTGATGATCACTGAACACTTTGTTACCTTGTTTCCGTAAGAACTAGAATTTGAGTCAATCACCTTAATACTCATTATTTTTAAAACCACAAATGTTAGAAATATAATCCTGATTGTTAATGTTACTGTTTGGGGGAGGTGGGGAGAGATTAGCCAGCCTCTGAATCATCCACATGTCGTACATTCCGTGGTGTAACTAGAAGATCTTATGTTCCTTTTCCCAACCAGAGATACACAGATATACAACATGATTCTTTAGTAACACCTAGTTTATAATTATTTTGCATACTATTTGTGTGTGTGTGTGTGTGCGTGTGTGTGTGTGTTTTGCGGTACGCGGGCCTCTCACTGTTGTGGCCTCTCCCGCTGCGGAGCACAGGCTCCGGACGCGCAGGCTCAGCGGCCACGGCTCACGGGCCCAGCCGCTCGGCGGCATGTGGGATCTTCCCGGACCGGGGCACGAACCCGTGTCCCCTGCATCGGCAGGCAGACTCTCAACCACTGCGCCACCAGGGAAGCCCTTACATACTATTTTTAGGAGATAAAAAAACATTTTGCTTCAGATTAAAAACGCTGTCTAAATAAAATCTAAATATCTTTCTTCCTGGGCACAGCTTTCTCAGGTCATGGCTGTAGAATGAGGCTTTCGTTTCTCCCGTTATCGAAAGATTATATGAATCTCAGGAAAAGAATGCCGGGCGAGTGATTTTAGGTGGCTAAATCACCTCAAACCAATGATTTTAGGTTCATTGATTTTAGGTGGCTAAGAGCAAAGATTTAGAAAGAAGAAAAGACAGAGGATTTATGGATTTACGTTTCCTCCAAAAGACAAATGACCCAGGAACATTTTTTTTCCTCAGCACTAGCTCTAATCAATTACCTTTGTTACTAAAGAAATAAATAATCTATAAAGTGTAACAGAGTTAAAATGCACTGGGTTCTAGTGTTTGGGGTTACTTGAAACTTTCTTTTTTCGGGGGAGGGGGTCTCTCTCTAGAGCTGAGCTTTAGCTAATTCCTCGTTATGGATTTATTTTTCCTTTTGCCTGGAGTCTTCATCCGCATGAGACAAATTAAAGAGGTTTAGAAGAATCACAGAATGTCAGGGCTGGAGGGCCCTTGGAAATGCCCTAGCCCAGTGCCCGGGTTTACAGTTAGGACACGGAAGCCCAGAGGGTTGGAGCGACTCGCCCGGCATCACCCAGCGGGGGCGGCCCGGGGTCCTCGGGGTCGAATCCGACCCGGGGTCACGCAGCCCTTCTCTGCTCTCGACCCTGGCCTTTGAGCTGTCCGTTCTCTCAGCACTTCGAGTCAGAACTCCCTTCTGCTCCATCGGCACTCCCGCTCCCTTATCAAACAACGGGTCTGGGCGTTTGAAATATTTCCACGCTGGACTGGCCCGGGTTCCGGTTCCTCCGCGCCGGGTTCGGCGAGCACGCGGCGGGGCGCGGCCGGGCGTCTGCGGGCGCGCGCGGCGACGCCGGCCCGGGCGGCCAGTCTCAGCGCCCGGCTCCGGCGGGGCGGCCCCGGCAGCGCCGCTCCAGGCTCCCAGGGGTCAAGTCCAGGTTGAGGCGCTGGAAGGCGGCGGGGGAGGGGCGGCCCGGCCGCGCCCCTACCTCCTCCCCTCCGCCTCTTGCGCGGAATTTTGGGACCGTTCCACCGGAGTGGTACGTCTGCACAAACATCACCAGCCTCCGGAGCTGACACGTTGTGCATTTTCAATTTCGCCTCGCGAACTGCGGCCTCCTCGCGTTCGAGAGGAGGCTGGAGACCTCGCCTCTCCGCCTTTCTGTTGCATTTCTGGGCGCCGCCTTCTCAGACACAAAAGGGAGAGGCGCGCCTCTCTTTCCTGCACCCAAAGGTGATGTCCCGGCTGCATTCGTAACGCACCTCATTTGTGACATTATATTTGGATCGGGAGGAAATCTTTTCTACTCACCTGGAACTGACAAAACGTGGCTTCATATTAAGGTTTACTTTTTAATCTCCCGGGGCGGGAGAAGGGAGCAGAATCTTCTTGCCACCACAAGCCGTGACAAGTGGCGACGGCTGGACCGCCGTCTGGGGCCCAGAGGTCGGGCGCGCTCCTCTCTACTCCTTTGCCGGCGTCCACGCGTCTCCCTCACCTGTGTCCCTGCCACCTTCCATCGGCCCGGTCCTCCCCCCACCTCCCTGCCTCGCTCATTTCTCGGAGAACAAGCCGCTTTCAGAACCTCCTTTCAAAGGCACCACCTTAAAAAAACAAAACAAAACAAAACAAAAACGATTTCAGCATCCCTAAATTCTCTGCTTTTTTAATTTCCCCTCTGATGGGAGCGGCATCATTCTCCTCCCTTCGGGTAAGAACCTCAAAGCTGAGGAGACTTCTTTCAGGGTTTGGATTTTGAGGCAGATCATACAAATTTCGAAGATAAAATCCCTGTGGCAGTTTTGACTTAAAACATGAGGCGAGTTAACAAGGAAAGCAGCAATAAATTCAGTCCGGGGCGTGACCCCGTCTTACAGTGTCCAGATTTCTGGCTAAGTTGTCAATTTGATGTCCCCTTTCTCTGCCGGCCTCTTCGATCCCTCTCTCAGGTTGTGCTGTTTTCGTTGGTTCGCTTTTGTTCCACTGCCAAGTCATCTCTGCCATAACTCTCCACCCACCCCACCCCTATTTTCTGACTCTGTTTTCCAAGTTCCTTAAGCATGACCAGGATAATACACCCACACCTTCCCTGCGCAATCGCTCAAGTTGCTTCCCTGGTAGAAGTTTTGAAAGAAGCTTACACATCAGAACATTTTGTTCATCTCTCCCCACATACAGGCTGGTGAAAGATGGAAGGACTTGGTATTTGCTGGAAACGAAAACACAGGGAGCTGCTGGAACCGATACCAGGATGTTCTTTTCGTTCTTTGCACAAGGTGATGGCATATCCTTCACATTCTGTGTAAGAACAGCCCATAAGGACATGTCGCCCCAACTGGAGAAGAACAGTACCAGCAAGGGTTAACCCAGAAGCACTTACTGTGCCTGAGCAAATGGATCAGACCATGTTAGACTAATAGGCTGATCATACTGATAAAGTTTTCCCAAAGATTCTTTCTGCTTTATGATTAACAGTTACTTTTCTTCAAAGGCAATTGGGTAAACGGTGTTGGTTTTAGGGCTTGGAACCCTCATTCAGACAGCTACACACAAGTCTGCGTTAAACACGGTATTATCTTTCCTGCTCCATTAGATTTAGAAGGAAACCACGATATCATTACATACACATCACACAGTGTTTTCCTCTTGATGTTCTGCAAGTCAAAAGCAGGGAGATCAAACGCCATCAGCACGCTGAATAAGTGCTTCTTAGAATAAATTGTCCACGAGGTAGATAATTCCAACTGTCCACTGGGCAGTGTAAGAAATGAAAACCAAAGAAGGAATTTCCTCAGCACATGAAGGTTGCTCAAAGCACATCTCTGTTAGTGGCGTCAACTTGCTCAGCCTTAATAATAACGACATTGATAATAATAACTGCTAACATTCACTGGACACTTACGATATGCCAGCACCTGTGCTGAGTGCCTGCATACATGATCTCATTTAATCTCACAAAACTTCAGTGAGCTAGGCCCCTGTTATTCCAATTTTATAGATAAGGAAATGAAGTCAGAAAAAGGTTATGTCACTTGCCCGGGGCCACACAGCCAAGAAACAGAAATGACTTTAGAGCACCATTTTGAACTGCCTCCCATACGATTTCCTACTGAAAAGTCAGTGGCAAAGCCAATCAAGAAATGAAAACAGATCTATTCAATGGTTCTGAGGAAAGCTACCATGAAGGGAGCACTTAGTATGAACGAGGCACATTCAATCTTCCCAGCTGCCCCTCAAGGTAGGTACATAGTTATCACCTCCAATTTGAGGTTGGAGCAAAGAGGCTCAAAGAAACAGAGTAACTTTGTCAAGGTCTGGGCCTTTCCTTTGCACCCTGGCTTATGGCCGTGTGCACGCGTGTGTGTGCACGTGTGCATGTGTGTGTGCTTATG